TATCTAAATTACTCTCTAAATACACCTATTTCTGCAAACAATCCATCCTCAGTTCTTATTTCTTTAGCTGTTGGCCTAGTCCTATTAAGCTGCTTTGGGTAAGGCCTGCCAGAATGTCTTGTGGATGACTGATCATATAAGCAATTGTAATCTGTTTAGCAATTTGGATCCTAATTCCCTCCTGAGTGTCTGTTTTCCAGTGGTGCTTGGTTTAAAACCAGTTAGCGAGGGTAGAGCAATTTTACAAAAGTTCTTCTTTAGCTTTTTCTGTATATCTCCCCCATTTAAGGGGATATATAATTTCTTTTTTGTTTTGTTTTAATGAACAAGTGGTTAGCTATGCATAACAAGGGATATACAATTTCTTTTCTTTTTTTTTTTTTTTGAGACAGAGTTTCGCTCTTGTTACCCAGGCTGGAGTGCAATGGCGCAGTCTCGGCTCACCGCAACCTCCGCCTCCTGAGTTCAGGCAATTCTCCTGCCTCAGCCTCCTGAGTAGCTGGGATTACAGGCATGCGCCACCATGCCCAGCTAATTTTTTTTGTATTTTTAATAGAGACAGGGTTTCACCATGTTGACCAGGATGGTCTCGATCGCTTGACCTCGTGATCCACCTGCCTCGGCCTCCCAAAGTGCTGGGATTACAGCTGTGAGCCACCGCGCCCGGCCTACAATTTCTTAGAGAAAATTTAACAAATATTATTTAGCATCTCCAGGTTTCAGTATTCATCCTAGATGCTTATTTTATTCTCTTTTACAGCATTATACTCTTGTTTTAGTATTCTGAGTCTGAAATTAGCATTAAGTGACTAGGTCTTTCCTTTGCCTGACATATCAACGGATAACAGAGATATACTTTGATCTTCTCATTTTGAAAATGAGTTCAATATCTAACCTAGCAGCAGAGTTGGGATTGCATAATAAGAGATAATCTTTTTTTTTTTAAACAGTCTCACTCTGTCACCTAGGCTGGAGTATAGTGGCACAATCTTGGCTCGCTGCAACCTCTACCTCCCAGATTCAAGCAGTTCTCCTGCCTCAGCCTCCCAAGTAGCTGGGACTACAGGCATGCACCACCATGCCTGGCTAATTTTTGTATTCTCAGTAGAGATGGGGTTTTGCCATGTTGGCCAGGCTGATCTCAAAACTCCTGACCTCAGATGAACCACTGCACCTGGCCTAGTAATCTTTAAAAAAGTACCAGCTGGGTGTGGTGATCACACCTGTAATCTTAGCCCTTTGGGAAGTGAAATGGGTGGGAGTTCCTCCTGAAGAGGGAAGAATGCTTGAGGCCAGGAGTTCAGGACCAGCCTAGCAACATAGCAAGACCCTGTCTCTACAAAAACTTTAAAAATTAGCTGGGCATTCTGGAATGCACATGAAGTCCCAGCTACTCAGGAGACTGTGTTGGGAGGATTGCTTGAGCCCAGGAGTTTGAGGTTGCAGTGAGCTATGATCACACTACTACACTTGAGCATAGGCAACAGAGTAAAACCCTGTCTCAAAAAAAAAAAAAACAAAGTAAATAAATATTGAAAATAAAGTTAGGCCAGGCATGGTAGCTCACACCTGTAATCCCAGCACTTGGGGAGGCTGAGGCAGGCGAATCATCTGAGGTTGGGAGTTCAAGACCAGCCTGGCCAACATGGTGAAACCCCGTCTCTACTAAAAAATACAAAGATTAGCCAGGTGTGGTGGCACAAGCCTGTAGTCCCAGCTACTTGGGAGGCTGAGGCAGGAGAATTGCTTGACACTGGGAGGCAGAGGTTGCAGTGGGCTGAGATCACGCCACTGCACTCCATCCTGTGTATCAGAGTGAGACTCCATCTCAAAAATAAATAAATAAATAAAATAAAGTTAAAAAAAAGTACCAGCACAGTACTTGCTACATAGTAGGCATTCAGTGAGTCATGGATATTATTTTTCATTATTATTTATAGCATCAGTTTCTTAAATCTATTATTTAGTAGGGTTATGTTCAATTAAAAGAAAAAGTTATGGCCAGGCGCGGTGGCTCACACCTGTAATTCCAGCACATTGGGAGGCCGAGTCCAGCGGATAGCCTGAGGTCCTAATTTTAAGACCAGTCTGGCCAGCATGGTGAAACCCCGTCTCTACTGAAAATACAAAAATTAGCTGGGTGTGCTGGCAGCTAATCCCAGCTAATGAGGCAGGAGAATCGCTTGAACCTGGGAGGTGGAGGTTGCAGTGAGCCAAGATAGTACCATTACACTCCAGACTGGGCAACAGAGTGAGACTCTGTCTCAAAAAAAAAAAAAAAAAGGAAGAAAGAAAAAAGGTTATATCTAGGAGGGAAAAAGTCAGCTAAATATTAAATTTGAAAATTTTGTGAGACTTCTTAGACATTTACAGTTAATCTATTTCTTAGAAATGTAAACTCCTGGGCCAGATGTGGATGTAAGTGCCTGTAATCCCAGCACTTTGGGAGGCCAAGGCAGGTGTATCATGAGGTCAAGAGATCAAGACCATCCTGGTCAACATGGTGAAACCCTGTCTGTACTAAAAATACAAAAAATTAGTTGGGCATGGTGGCGTGTGCCTGTAATCCCAGCTACTTGGGAGGCTGAGGCAGGAGAATTGCCTGAACCCAGGAGGAGGAGGTTGCGGTGAACCAAGATGGCACCATTGCACTCCAGCCTGGGTAACAAGAGTAAAACTCCGTCTAAAAAAAAAAAAAAAAAAAGAAATGTAAGCTCCTGCTAGGCGCTGTAATCCCAGTACTTTGGGAGGTCGAGGTGGGTGGATTGCTTGGGCACAGGACTTAGAGACCAGCCTGGGTAACATAGTAAGACCTCTTTTCTAGAAAACATTAAAAAATTGGCTAGGCATGGTGGTACATGCCTGTGGTCCCAGATATTCGGGAGACTGAGGGTGGAGGCTGGAAGGTTGAGGCTGTAGCGAACTGTTATCACTCCACTGCACTCCAGAACTCTGTCTCCAAAAAATTAGGCCAGGCGTGGTGGCTCACGCCTATAATCCCAGCACTTTGGGAGGCCGAGGCGGGTGGACCACGAGGTCAAGAGATCGAGACCATCCTGGTCAACCAGGTGAAACACCATCTCTACTAAAAGTACAAAAATTAGCTGGGCATGGTCGCGCGTGCCTGTAGTCCCAGCTACTCAGGAGGCTGAGGCAGGAGAATCGCTTGAACCCAGGAGGTGGAGATTGCAGTGAGCCGAGATCACACCATTGCACTCCAGCCTGGGTAACAAAGAGTGAAACTCCATCTCAAAAACAAACAAACAAAAAATTAAAAATAAATAGATAAATGTAAGTCCCTAAAAGAAATGTGCCCTGCATGTTGGGAACAGTGCCTACCATGTCTGAACAGTTCAGAACTATTTACTGAAATTGATGGTGGGGCAGGAACACAGTGGTATGCAAACTTGTACTCCAGGGCCTATTTGTCTCTCAAATTTCTAAGAGGTTTTGCCTCTGTGTGGGACATCTCATCTGCCAGATGTAGTGATAGTGAGTCAGGACAAGAAAACATTATAGAAACATTGTGCTGTTGTATCAGGACATTGCACCCCAGTTTTTTTTTGTTTTTGTTTTTGTTAGTACTTCCTGGGATCATTTGATAAAGAAGTCACTTAAGAAGAATGCCTTGTGTGTATTTTTTAAATTGACTTCTGAATTCATTTCCTTGTCACTGACTATTACTATTTGCATGATTTTATGTATGCTCTCTTTGTTCATGGGTAATTCTTCCTCTTACAGAGGGATGGTTCTCATAATTGTGATATATAGGAAGGCAGAACACCTGAGTTCTGATCTCTGCCCTAAATGCTCGGACTTTTATTATTCTCAGCACTGGGAGGATAAATTACTATAGTCCATGAAATCCCTTGGAAGTGCTTTTAGACTTGAAATTTTGAGGGTAAAGTTAAGACTTTTCCTCACAAGTGTTTTGGGATCTCTTGGCAGAATTTTCTTTTTTCCTGTTTCATTCTTGCTCTTTAGAGATTTAGAAGATTGGCATGCTATTTTATTTTATTTGCTTTGGTTAAGCCTTTTTTGTTTTGTTTTGTTTCGTTTTGTTTTGAGAGGGAGTTTTGCCCTTGTTGCCCAGGTTCGAGTGCAATGATGGGATCCTGGGTGACTGCAACCTCTGCCTCCCAGCTTCAAGCGATTCTCCTGCCTAAGCCTCCCGAGTAACTGGGATTTCAAGCATGTGGCACCACACCTGGCTAATTTTGTGTTTTTAGTAAGAGACGGGGTTTCTCCATGTCAGGCTGGTCTCGAACTCCCAACCTCAGGTGACCCACCCACCTGGGCCTTCCAAATTGCTGGGATTATAGGTGTGAGCCACTGCTCCCAACTTAAGCCTTTTATTAAATAGCAGTATCTCTGAATTAGGAAAATGCGGGAATTTTATTCTATTTTATTTGAGAAGGAGTTTTGCTTTCCTTGCCCAGGCTGGAGTGCAATGGCATGATATTGGCTCACTGCAACCGCCACCTCCTAGGTTCAAGCAATTCTGCCTCAGCCTCCTGAGTACATGGGGTTACAGGCTCCCGCCACCATGCCCAGCTAATTTTTGTATTTTTAGTAGAGATGAGTTTTCACCATATTGGTCAGGCTGGTCTCCAACTCCTGACCTCAGGTGGTGACCCACCAGTCTCGGCCCAAAAGTACTCCCAAAGTGCTGGGATTACAGGCGTGAGCCACTGCAGCTGACCAAATGCAGGAATTTTATTTCCTTCAGTGCCTTCACCTCCTTTCTACATTCTTTCATATTTGGTTTCCTTTAGGTACCAGCATTTTTCTCTGCCGATTTTTACCAAGGATATTCTCAGCCAGGACTCGTGTCTTTCTGCTCCTGGCATTGGCATGCTTTCCGCTTGGTTTTCTGGTGTGTTTCGGCGCCAGAGGCTGTTATATTTTCTTTTCCATCCTCAGTATATGTTTTCTGAATTTCACTTTCTGTTTGTAGTTCATTTATAATCACTTATGATTTCTTTGGTCCTTCCCCACAGGTGACAGTGCCTTCTTTCTTCATACTTGGCTCATGACCCCACTTCACATTCCTGAAACTCCAGCAGAATATCGCTATAATATGGCCCATTCTGCAACTCACAGTGTGATTGAGAAGACTTTCCGAACCCTCTGCTCCCGATTCCGCTGCCTGGATGGATCCAAAGGGGCACTGCAGTACTCACCAGAGAAGTCCAGCCACATCATCTTGGCTTGCTGTGTCCTCCACAACATCTCCCTGGAGCATGGGATGGATGTTTGGTCCTCTCCAATGACAGGACCCATGGAACAGCCCCCTGAGGAAGAGTATGAGCACATGGAGTCCCTGGACTTGGAGGCTGACCGTATTCGTCAGGAGCTAATGCTCACTCATTTTAGCTAATGTAGAAGGTGGAGAGGAGGGAGACTTCCCAGGAGTTGTGTCAGACTTTCCCCCTCTTCACTTTCTACAGTTCCATCATCTAGAATGGCTGAGTATACAGATACTTGTCATAAAGTGACATTTAATCTGTGTGTTTTGGTAAGATTGGGGCTATGCCAGTATATCTTGATTCATTTGCAAATGCATTAACTAAACCAAAACCAAAACAGCGGCTCCCTACTATCCAATGAACTCCTGGTTGAGTACCACTAGTTTGAAAGCTCACTGGTTGCAAACATTTATGACTGTGCCTACAAAGTCGTAGTAAAGGTCAGGAGTTTAAGACCAGCCTGGCCAACGTGGCGAAACACCATTTCTACTAAAAATACAAACATTAGCTAGGCGCGGTGGTGCATGCCTGGAATCTACTTGGGAGGCTGAGGCAGGAGAATCGCTTGAACCCATGAGGCGGAGGTTGCAGTGAGCCGAGATTGTGCCACTGCACTCCAACCTGGATAACAGAGCAAGACTCTGTCTCAAAAAAAAAGTAATACTAAAGGGGAAGACAGCATATAGTCAAAACACTTTTTTGGTTTTAATTATCTGTAGATTTTGGATGAAAACAATATTTACCTATTCTTGATTATTTTAGTGGTATTTTAATTTTTCTACTTTGCTGTTTGTATAGGCATAATCTGAGGCAAGTGTGAAGAGAATTTCAGTTGGGGAATGGTCTTCTGACATGAGTAAATGGCTACTAATCCCGGTTTGCAGCTTTGTGCTTGTAAGAGGATCTTAAAGACAGTCAGAAGCCTCCATCTTTAGCCTGTCAGCAGTAATTGGACTGTGACTTGGACCTAGTTCCTAGGGAGAACATCTGGACTCCACTTTCCTATTTCCAACCCCGAGTCGGAGTTAGAAGCTAAATGGGTTTACGAACCCAATCAGCTTAAAAAAGGCAATTCGAATATAGACAAAATAGCAAGCTTATGCTTTACAGGGGATCTAAGGACTGAGAGAGATTGATGAGCAATGGAGATTCACCCAGATTCAGATACCTCACATTTAACTAGATCACATTTCTTATGATTTTGATGTTAGAATGTCTGTTTGATCGTTCTGTTTGGAAATTCCTTGTGCAAGAGGAAGATTCAGGGAATAAAGAAGGCATGTGAAAGTACTAAAAAGGAGAGGTAATAGGAATATGATTTCTTGGTTTGAAATGAATTCTGGTGCTAGACCTTGGATATGCAGAGCGATGGACAGAATTTCCCAAGAAATAAATAATCCCCCAGCAAGTCTTGTTCTAAAATTACACTGATATAAAAATAACTTGATTGGAATAATGAAAGTGTGAATTAGGTTCACACATTGGTGCCTTTGCTGGGACAAAAAAGAGACTTTCCTCAGTGTTGTCTTGTTCCCAGTTTCTCAGCCACTCACCATGTGATACCTCTGATTTGTCCTCTTGGATCATTTCCTACCTGCCTTTGGCAGTGTTAATCTGGTGATTTTTCAGAGTAAAGAAATGAGCAGCTGATGACAGAAGAAATTTGGAAATAAATCGAGGTTGACTCATCCTCAAGATTAAAAACAATTATGGATTATTATCTGCTGTTTTCTTTCTACTCCAAATGCTATTCCCCGTCATGATCCTGCTCTATAAAGACTGGGTCCATTTGGCAGAAGGTTGTGCCTTATATGTACAGGGATGTCACTGAGGTGGGAATGGACAACGAAGAGTTGGCTGTAAACATTCACTCTATTCATTATGCAACAGAGGTGCCCAGTTACATTTTTTTTCTTTGTTAAGTTCAACTTGTGACACAAGCTTGCTTTGTTTCCCCCATAAGGCAATGTTTTAATTCTCAAGGTCTTTCCTTTTTAAGTCTTCCAAGATGAGTATTTTCCCCATAAAGTTTTGGTTCCGTTTGGCATATCCCATCAGGAAAGGGTTACTGCCAAACAAGTATCATAAGTGGCAAGGTGAAGTGTGATCATGGAAAACGCCCTGCGTTTTAGCCTTACATAACTGCATTTAAGGAAAACTGGAGTTTTTCACAACTTAACTCACTAGATGGTGACACGAAGACTGAGTGGGATGGACAGTCTTGGAGAGATTTCAAAAGCAATTTCAAGTCTATTTACTTGCACACCAAAGATAATCTAAGTGCTGAGCTGACTGAACATTGGCTGACAGTGTTTTTCCCAGGGAGCATTTTGTTTTCTAATAATCCCACAGGAAAACTCTTCAGATCTAAACCTTTAACTTCCTTTCAACCTGTAGTTTTGCAGGACAGGATTTTTTTTTTTTTTTTTTTTGTCATTAGTTATTCTTTCCCCAGAATGATGTAGGGGAAGGATCAGGGTCTGTACTTCTGAATTGCCAAGGATATCTTCACAGGGGCTTTTTATAAGTGTCTAAGAAAGCTTCTCCCTTTGTGGTCCTTAGTGTGGATTTATAGTTTTTTTCTGGCATGGTTTTGGGAAAGAGTCAAGGATTTTGTCTGTCTTATGTAAGCCTCATCTTCCCATAGATAACTCCATCTGGCCAGCATGGTAGTTTTCCAGATTTACCCGTAGATATTTCAAGGCAGTAAGGTCTCAGGATATATCAAGAGAAAACAATATTGGGTGATCATCAGTTTACCAATTCCAAATTATACAAAAGAGGGACCATAAACATATTCTTGGTTTAAGTGAACTGAATAGGGATGAAGCTGTTTTCCTGATCCTAGGACTGTGAAGGATCTATACCAAGTTAATCTAACTTAGGGATAAAAAAGAAGATACAATTTTAATTCAGTCATATAGTGATGACATAGAAGAGGTGGGTTATGGTGACATAGAGGCTGGACAGATAATAGATATAATAAGATTTTATCTCGGGCCAGGTGTGGTGGCTCATGCCTTTAATCCAAGCACTTTGGAGGCCAAGGCGGATGGATCACCTGAGGTCGGGAGTTCAAGACTAGCCTGACCAACATGGTGAAACCCCATCTTCAAAAAAAATAAAAAATTAAGTTAAAAGAAAAGATTTTATCTCTGTCTGAAACAAACTGAAAATAGCCCAAAGACTGAGCTTCATAGTTACTTTCCCTGGCAGTGGAGGGGAAGTTAGAAGGAGGACAAGAAAATAAGAAATGAAAGGGTTTTTGTGCATACACATGTCTTCAGGGCCCATTTGGCTGTCTAGATCCTGCCAAGATTTTGCAAAATTGTTGTGGGTATGAGAAATCACAGATTCAGGATTAAGATTTTGTTGATTATGTGGAAAAGAAAGAAAAATATTAGCTGAAGGCTGGGGACATGCTAGTTTCCCATCATATAAAATTCATAGACTTTTTTATCCTGCATAAATCCTTGTTCTAAAAATTTTTTTTCTTTTTTTGAGACAGGGTCTTGCTCTGTTGCCAAGGATCTTGGCTCACTGCAACCTTCACTTTCCGGGATCAAGCGGTCCTTCCACCTTGGTCTCCTGAGTAGCTGGTACTACAGACACACACCACCATTCCCCCTAATTCTTGTGTGTGTGTGTGTGTGTGTGTGTGTGTGTGTGTGTGTGTGTGTTTTTCATAGCAATGGGGTTTCACCATGTTGCCCAGCCTAGTCTTGAACTCCTGGATTCAATTGATCTGCCTGAAAAAAAAAAATCGATCTGCCTGTCTTGGCCTCCTAAAGTGCTGGGTTTACATGCGTGAGTCCTGGTCCTGAATTGTTTTTTTGTTTTGTTTTGTTTTGTTTGAGACAGTTTCACTCTTGTTGCCCAGGCTGGAGTGCAATGGCTCCATCTTGGCTCACCGCAACCTCTGCTTCCTGGGTTCAAGCTATTCTCCTGCCTCAGCCACCTGAGTAGCTGGGATTACAGGCATGTGCCACCACGCCTGGCTAATTTTGTATTTTTAGTAGAGACAGGGTTTCTCCATGTTGGTCAGGCTGGTCTCGAGCTCCAGACCTCAGGTGATCTGCCCAACTCAGCCTCCCAAAATGCTGGGATTGTAGGCATGAGCCACTGTGCCCAGCCTCTGAATGTTTTTTTAATTAACTTTTGTGGAGACAGGGTCTTACTCTGTCATCCAGGCTGGAAGTGCAGTGGTGTGATTGTAGCTTATTGCAGCCTTGAACTCCTGGGCTTAAGTGATCCTCCCACCTCAGCCTCCCTAGGCTAGGTGTAGCTAGGACTGCAGGTATGCACTACCATGCCTGGCTAATTTTTGTTTGTTTGTTTTGGTACAAACAGGGTCTGACTATGTTGCTCAGGCTGGTATTGAATTCCTGGCCTCAAGCAATCCTCTTGCCTTGGCCTTCTAAAGCACTCTGGGATTATATGGATTACAGGCATAAATTACCATACCCATTCTAAACGGTTTTTTTTCTTTTTTTTTTTTTTAAACATGACTACAGGCCAGGTGCAGTGGCTCATGCCTGTAATCTCAGCACTTTGGGTGGCCGAGGCAGGCGGATCATCTGAGGTCAGGAGTTGCAGACCAGCCTGGCCAACATGGTGAAACCCTGTCTCTAATAAAAATACAAAAATTAACTGGGTGTGGTGGCGGGTACTTGTCATCTCAGTTACAGGGAGGCTGAAGCAGTAGAATCCCTTAAACCTGTGAGGTGGAGATTGCAGTGAGCAGAGATCATGGCATTGCAATTTCAGCCTCTGTAGCAAGAGCAAAACTCCAAAAAAAAAAAAAAAAAAAAAAAAAAAAGACTACAACTCAAGGCCTCTTGTAATTATAAAGTAGAAGAAATGAGATGTCTGGATACTGAACAGGAGAAAGGGAGTAGACTTACTTAGAAATCATAAATTAGGGGCCTCCCTGTGTGCCCAGCAAAACATTAAGGATCTATTACTCTGCTGACATGTTAACTTTCTCTAATCCTTATGCTGTCTTTTATAGACAGGGTGATTTCCTTGTTATTCTAGAGCCTTAAAATGTGCATACATTTTGATCTATTGATACATTTCATCACTGGAGATTTATCTTATGGAAATAATTTCAAAGAAGGGAGAGTCTTCTATCCTGCAGCTAGCAGTTCTCTGCTGTTCTGGGCTCTCTCTCCTTCCCTGGGTTGCTCCTACATCACTATACTACTTCTGCCCATACCATTCCATCATCAAGTATATACATTACCCCACAGCACAAGAAGAACAGGCTAGAAAAGAACAGAACAGAATTGCTATGGCAGAATTGACAACTGGCTTACCATTTTGGCTGTTCAAGGCCTGACTAGTCTTCCTGATAAGATGACTTTCTAATATGATGACTCACGGTACTAATGACATCTCATTTCTTCTACTTTACAATCTCAGGCTAGGTTCAAGTCTGATTTCTATCACCCAGTGTGTGGTAGAGGCATGTTTCTCAGAACCCAGAGCCAAGATAAGGAACAGTCTCAATTCCCTCTTCTCTTTCCTCCCTCCTTAACTCTTCATTCCAGGCAAGTCTCCTAGGCAAGTGTGCCCCATCCTTATCCTCAATTTTTTTTTTTGAGGCAGGGTCTTGTCTCTGTTGCCCAGACTGGAGTACAGTGGTGTGATCCTGACTCACTGCAGACTCGACCTCTTGGGCTCAAGCGATCCTCCTGCCCCAGCCTCCTGAGCATCTGGGACTGCCAGTGTATGCCACCACTCCCTGCTAATTAAAAAAAAAAAAATTTTTTTTTTAGAGATGGGGTCTCACTATGTTGCCCAGGCTGGTCTCAAACTCCTGGACTTAAGCTATGCTCCCACCTTGGACTTCCAAAGTACTGAGAGTACAGGTGTGATCTGCCATACTTGGCCTCTTGCTGGTATAGTCTTTCCAAAGTTTTTTCCATGTGATTGACAGGGGCAAGGTCTATGCTTAAGAATGACCAACTGTCACAGCCCGATTGCCCATGGCTGTCACAGTTTTTTTTTTTTTCTTTTTTTTGAGACAGTTTTGCTCTTGTTGCTCAGGCTGGAGTGCAATGGTGTGATCTTGGCTCACTGCAACCTCCGCCTCCTAGGTTCAAGTAATTCTCCCGCCTTAGCCTCCCGAATAGCTGGGACTACAGGCGTTTGTTACCACACCCAGCTAATTTTGTATTTTTATTAGAGATGGGGTTTCTCCATGTTGGTCAGGCTGGTCTTAAACTCCCGACCTCAGGTGATCCACTAGTATCAGCCTTCCAAAGTGCTGAGATTACAGGCATGAGCCACCGCGCCTGGCCTGGCTGTCACAGTTTTAATGCTGAAAGTCCCATGTTCTGGGAAACCCCTCAGTCCTGGGCAAGCTTAAGACTGGTTATCCTACTTCAGGGAAGCACCATCCTACCTCAGGGGACTGGTTCCATGAGAAGAGTCCTACCGGATTTCAGTGATTAGCAATCAACACCATAATGAGTTCTGGAGTCTTTTTTTTAAGTTACAGGGTTTCACTTTGTTGGTCAGGCTGGTCTTGAACTCCTGACCTCGTGATCCTCCTGCCTCGGCCTCCCAAACTGCTGGGATTACAGGCATGAGCCACCATGCCTGGCGAGTTCTTGAGTCTTAACAGCAATATGAGGAACATCAGAGGTACAGCCCAGGATGATCTTCACTTCTGCTGGGCCTTTTTTTTTTTTTTTTAGACGGAGTTTCACTCTG